ATTTAACCCACTTAAATGAGGTTGGTAGTATAAGTGGCAAGCCAGGTGTTGGGCTACCACTTGGAATAAGCAACTAATAGAGTCCTGAGGGTACTGGTTTGCAACTAGGTTATAATATCATAAGGAGTTGAAGTTTATATACTTATATATATTGTATGTGAGTGTTGTGTATAGGTTCTGTGTTGTTATTAAATGTTTCCGATGAACAGGTGTTTGCCCTTGTCTTAGTGAGGCTTTCAGGAAGTAAAAGAGGGAGAGAGAGAGAGACAGGGAGAGAGAGAGAGAGAGAGAGAGAGAGAGAGAGAGAGAGAGAGAGAGAGAGAGAGAGAGAGAGAGAGAGAGAGAGAGAGAGAGAGAGAGAGAGAGAGAGAGAGAGAGACAGACAGACAGACAGACAGACAGACAGACAGACAGACAGACAGACAGACAGACAGACAGACAGACAGACAGACAGACAGACAGACAGAGAGACAGAGAGAGAGAGAGAGAGAGAGAGAGAGAAGAGAGAGAGAGAGAGAGAGAGACAGACAGACAGACAGACAGACAGACAGACAGACAGACAGACAGACAGACAGACAGACAGACAGACAGACAGACAGACAGAGAGAGAGAGAGAGAGAGAGAGAGAGAGAAAGAAGGCACCACAGCTGCAGACAGGGTAGTTCAAAATAATAATTCAGAAAAGGGGATTACGGAGATCATTCCATCCGAGGAGAGAGTGGGGAGTCACGGCGGCTCAAGTGGGTGTGTGCACATGACAACAGGGCTGGTGTTAGAGCCGCATCCCCTAAATATATGATGCTGAGCCCCTCTCTAAAATCAAGAAGCGTGCAGGGTGATCTGATCAAAGTATAAGCACTCCATGGGCTTTGGTGGGTTGTACGGTAGGGACGTACGCACCTGCCTACAACAATGTAAAACAGCCCTCTTGCGAAAGTCGTATGGATAGGACGACAACGCTCAACACAATATTACAATACCTTAGTGGAAGAAATCACTACTTCATGATGTTATCTCGGACAATGGCATATTGATATATTGTTTTTGGGGGGGTAACTAAATGTAGGCAATTACAAGTGCAAGGTGCAATTGCAGGTCTTCTGTGAGAACTCTGACCTTACACATACACCTAAGTACAGATTGGATAAGTATCTCAATAACACGTTGATTCATGCAACCCATCCTCCTGTATAAATAGTATTTTTTGTAACTATGTAACAGTACTTATAACTATATAACATAGTATTTGTAACATAGTACATACATGTATTATGTCCACCATAGTACAGGTATTGACGTACTAATCAATTAGATAGTTGAATTCTTTATAGATTGAATTCACTTTATAGATTCCAAAAAAATGGAGCTAAAAACAACAAACTTAAATGTTCCATACGCCTAGTCAGCACACTTATGTACAATATTAGCCTCAGATATATTAGTCCTAGGAAGATTAGATTAGTTTTGTTTGTCTTTGCAACATGAGTAGAAAATCATTTTCCGGTTTGTCCAAATTCAATATTACCGATTTCTACTTTCTAATCGTGTTGAACGTCGGTATATGTACTATGGTCCTGATCCTTCCTATTAGTACTATCGAAACAGGAGATGGGCGGATTCATATGTGCTTTCCACTTTCATATATTAAGTGTCCAAAGGAATTTGCTGCTTTGTCTATTAGGTCTTATGCAAACTCTAAGTCCACCTCGGCTAGGTGGACCTAGGTGTTGTTCCCAATGTCAGTTGCTGGACCTGGATTGCGTTTAGTGAGCTATCCGCCATATGCAAACTGTCGATATTGCTTCCATCCGAAGTCAGGAAAATGTATAATCGCAGACATATCAAATACTCTCATCAAGCTATCAACATTGATTTACACCTAAGTATTGTTATGAACCTACAGGTAGCTTAATGAGGTAGGCCTACCTTTGTTAGAGTTATTTCGCATCTGATCAGATATAGAAGTCAGATAAATGAATTAAACCAAGCAAACGTCAGTAAATGTGACTGGGGAGAAGCAAAGTACAGGGCAAGCAACTTAAGGAAATGAGGTAAGATAAGATGTCGCCAGTATGCTACAAGACGACGTGGGTGTAATTCGTGAGACCTCACTTGAGTTGTGAGAGTCGACGGAGACAGACTTACGTCGTTGCCTCTTAACACCGAAGAAGGAAGTCTGTAGCTCATGGTGAAGAAATGGTGACAAGCTACGGTATCAACGTACGAGGAAGCTGTTGGAGGACGACGTGTAACGCATCTCTTTTTTAGAGGTAACAATACAGGGGCGGTCTGAAGCCTATTGGGTGGTCGTGCCTTTATGAACCCTACTGTGTGTAAAGCCTTTAAGTGGATAAATTGGGCAGGTGTTCCTGTGTGGCACTTGGTAGGCAACTTCTCATGCTCAAGTCAGGACGGGTAGGAGCCGATAGTGGAACGTCCAAGAGATATTTGTGGACTACCAGGTAGGGCGCCATATTTGTGTGTTGTTGGACAGGCTTCATCCCGCCATCCTTTTGCGGTAGGAGAACAATATTCTGTCATGTACAGCTTGTTATAGTTTGAGCGTGTGCCCAGCGATCTTATAGGACGTTTGTGAGTGTAGGTTAAATAGTTTATGAAAATGATGAGACGATATAATGAGTTTGAGATGATTTTATATTATGGAGGTGGGAGTGACATACACTCCCGCAGACGAGTGTAGTGTACGACTGAGGGGAGGGAGCCCCGGCGGTCAGAGATTTACTAGGTGGACTCATCCATTGTGGCGAAGTTCACATCTCAGTGCAGTCGGCGCATATTTATTCTGTATAGTTATTCTTTATATTTATACACTTATTCTGTATATATTGTTTAGGTTTGATAGGCGATTATATTATGGTATGGTAATGAAATTACATGTTCGTGTCTGGTGAAGTTCGTGTCTGGGGAAGTTCGTGTATGGGGAACTTTGCTTAAGGGAATGAGTGTAATAGAAGTTCATATGGTAGATCTTCAAGTGTATAGTGGAACGTCAATGGTAAAGTGGAGCATTCAAGTAACAGTGGTACTTGGCGGACGTGTTTCGTCATTTTTCGAAGCAGCAGCAATACTGAAGAAACTGCAGAATACCTACTTAATTTGAAGACCCACTGACCAAGGGTCACGGTGGTGGGCCTCAGGACGTAATACAGAGAGTTTCATGGACTCCATTATTGGTTGAGGAATGCATGAATTCATATGTTATGAATGACAAGTGTTAGGTGTGAACGTTAATATTTTCTTGCTTGAGTTAATTTATATGCAAGTTGCCTAGCCCAGACAGTGAGAGGGGTAGGAGGTTGCTGGCAAAGATTAAGTAGCAGCCTAGCATAGTTTATTTGTTGGATCACTGATATTATATAAGCGTGATGCTAGTTTGTTGGACCTGATGATACTATACTGTTAAATCTCACTCTTTGTATTGATGTAATAATTGTTTGTCTGAAGTCAAGTTGTTTTGCACTTGTCCTGGTGATAATTTCTAGAAGGAGAGAGAAACAATTGCAGGTCGGTCGACTGCAAGTATATCATAAAAGGGACCTAGAAGGAGGTCATCACAAAGTAAGGAGAGAGAAGGTAAGTCATATCGGCTCCGCGAGGTGTGGTCTCATGATAATAAACCGGTTCTGAGCCGATTTTCCAAACAATATGACGGTGAGCCGCTTTCTCCATAGTTAACATCATTAAAGGATGACGCTAGTGTGTGTGCTCTATTGGTGTTGATTGTAGGAGTTTTAGGGTTTAGTGTTTTTATATATTTTATCTGGGGGGGGGGGGGTACGATAGTTATATCGGAACCTCCTGATAATATATCCTTCCTCCTACCTTCCTCGTGATCAAGGGAAAATCTTCAACTCTCCCCTCACCTACTGCCTCAGGCAACATAGTCTAGGTAACGCCTAACTGCACTTCATCATTCATATTCTGTAGTGTAAGCTTTCCCTCTGCTTCTGAACATATTAACAGGTTCATCAAAACACATGTCATATCATCAAGCCATATAACAAATTGGAAATGAACTTTGGAAAATAAATTGTTAAATTTCCTTCCTAAGTGAAGGAGAACATACGAAATACAGAGAAGATGCTTGCTAAAATAATTTACAACTGTAGTGTATGATTTATGTGTACATTAGTGAATGATTAGATACACAGTATTTAGTGGTTTTTATATTTATTTAGTAGTTTAGGTTACAACAGTCGGTTATTGACAGAGTTGTAGAAGTTAAGACGAAGCCTGGAGGAGAGCAGAAAGCTGAGTGAGGCCGGGGGTAGAGAGCTTGGACGCGGGATGAGAGTCGTAGAGAGTGGCACTCTGAATGGGAGTGGAGTCGAGGAGCTTGATGCGGGACGAGAGCGCGTAAGCTCGATGCGGCCGGAGTCTAGCGGTCTGCTCTGTGTCGAGGCTGAAGTCTCTTGGAGTCGGTACCAACCGGACACGCCAAGCGCTACATTGTTGTTGGTGAGGTTGAAGTTGTTCTGTATCTCTGAAGCGTCTCTTGAAAGTATACTGAAGATTATTGATTGATTGGTGAAGATTAAGCCACCCAAGAAGTGGCATGGGTGAATAGACTGTAAGTGGTAGATTTTTAAATGAATGTGATCTTTGATAGTGAACAAAAATTATTTTCTAATCGATTGCCTATATAATCGGTCCACACCTCACCTCATCGTCCTCCAATAGACTGGAAGGAATGTTAACTGTAATTAGGGATGAGGCATGAGTATTGTCATGAGTGGATGAAATAGACTTAACGTCCATCTCATCAATCTAAGGAGAGTTTGGAGCGAGTATATTATTGACACAATATGCTCGCTACACGACTTCAATTTATTTCATATTCAGATAATATTTCACTGTTGTCTACATGTATGCTACGTGTGCTATGTTTAGATAGCACAATAATATTTATTGTCACTGCAGACAAGTGCACTTAATTCATCGATTTATTTTCTGGTTCTCATGATGTTTGTAAAATACTCCTTTAAGGTGTTATGTTTATTCCTTTAAGGTGTTATGTTTATTCCTTTAAGGTGTTATGTTTATTTCTTTAAGGTGTTATGTTTATTCCTTTAAGGTGTTATGTTTATTTCTTTAAGGTGTTATGTTTATTCCTTTAAGGTGTTATGTGTATTCCTTTAAGGTGTTATGTGTATTCCTTTAAGGTGTTATGTGTATTCCTGAGTATCTTCTTGTTATATATGAAGAGTAGTACCAGACGTAGTATTTTGTAGAACCCATGGAAGTATCTTGCATATATGAAATATTTAATTATCAAAGTTTTGGTTGATAATTTTGGCCCCACAAGAGTACAGTGGTCATTCGAACTCTATGCAAGGTCCACACAGTTTTCTGCCTAATTAAAGAAAATGGTGTCCTGTCAAGAAGGACAATCTCCTCTAGCCGGATTACCGGGCTTGTCCATCACCGGGTGTGTCTTCATAGTCCTCTGGGCCACAGTAAGATGTCTTGCCTCTCACCACACGGTGTTACATGGGTGTGGCTGGAGTGTGTCCGATCTTCCTTAGTGATTTCCATTAAAAAAAACTGTGCATTGAATGAAAGTTGTGTAAATATATATAGTTGAACCCTTGTAATTCGTTAAGGTACTCTGCATAACAAGACTGGTAATACAGACCCTTCTTTGCATGAATGGCCGACGAGGCACTATTTTCTCCCTGGCGGTGACTGGTGGCCGGCGGTAGAGCCGCCGCCCAGGTCGTGAGCTGACCTGCGACTGCTTGCCTGTCCTTAGAGCCGTTGATAAACTTCCGTGCTGGCGGACCCTTACAAGGTCTGCCGCTGCGGGGTCTTGTGTTCACGTTGCCTTCACTCTGCCAGCGTCGCACCCACCTACACACAGTGGTCACACTCGTGCCTGTCTCCTGCGCTATGGCTCGCGCTGACATTCCTCCCAGCCACATCCACACGAATTTCGCTCTCTCCGCCAGCTCTGTTGGCTGCGATGGGCGGTGAGTCACCATTTATGTCTGAAATCATTTATACATATACTTCAGTCGCACTGTTCCCTTTTGTCAGTATGTTGTTACAAGTGCTATCTGGTGCAGGAAGGAATTGCTTCATTGACGAGACCATAATGCTTTTGAGGTATCCCAGATTGTAACCTTATTTTGTTTAGTATCTCTTATTACAGCTAACAACAAGTATCACACCAAATTATTATAGAATAAGACTCAATATTATATTAAAATATATTGGTATATTTTCACACTCGATGCTAATATATAAAGTTTTTGGTTTATTACTTACAACTATCTTGAAACACTTCTACATCAAGACTGATTGATATCACTACCAAGGTTGTATTGCTGGCAAAGCTGCTGACAGAATACGGAAACACTTGAGGGAACTAAAAATGCATCAGCTTCACACCTATGTCTGCAAATGCAAATAAATAAACTGGCATCCGGAAGAGTTGGATCCAAGGTCTGGTGGTCTCTGGTTCTCAACGTCAGCCTCCACATCTTACTCCGAGCACTGTGTCTAGGATGACTGACTTGGTTATACAGCAGGCTGAAGTTCTCCTTCGCCTTCAAATGCTAGACACTAGCAAAGCTGTGGGGGCCCGATAAGGTCAGTCCAAAACTACTACGAAGCTGTGCTGACCTATTAGTTACACCTCTCACATGCCTCATCCAACTATGCCTAGCGCAAGGAATTTGGCCCTCCTTTTGGAACAAGGCAAATGTTGTTCCAGTACACAAAAAGAAGAGCCGCTCAGTGGTTGGTAACTACAGACCTGTGTCACTAATCTCCATTACTGGTAAAATCCTCAAAACATTAAGCTCTAAGCAAATGATATAATCTTTTGACAATCATCGGCACTATATGGATGACTGTCGGAAAATCCGACACCATTTAATATCATACAGATAATAGCTGTATTGTATAAACAAGTTACCCATAGAAAACGTAACTTGTAGTGGAATTACCGTCTAAGGAAAACGGGATATCATCACCACATACTATTATAATTCACCAGCTAATTTGCTGGGAATTGTTCTTAAATACATTAGTCTTTGGACTTTACCATCATAAAACATCTTATATAAATTAATTTAATTATCAGTAGTAAAGTAGAGTAAATGTGACCCTTCTATCACCTTTGGACATCTGGACAATGTAAGCCAGGCGTCAGGAGGAAGGGGGGAGCCATTGTTGTGTCACCTCCGAGACGTGTGGAGCAAATTTAGCTCCTATCATATCTGGACAATGTCGGCCAGTAACGTCAATAGTATGGAGTGTTAAACAGCCATTGTTTATATTGAGACCAGAGGCTCACACGGGAGCAAATTCGGCTCCTGTTAATTTTACTTGGACGTAGTGTTATGGAAACCAAAGGTACCATCTCCAACACGATGTCTACAATTCAAGTTAAGTGTTCTTTCCGAAACCCGTTTATCATTCATTTATGGCCATTAATGTCAGGATATAGGGTGATCCGGTTAGAGCACGTGGAAGCCTCAAACTAAAGGTAATTAAGCCAGGTCTTCAATGTTCCATGTACAGTTTTCTCTGATATAACTTGTCATATATAGGATTCTGGCTTCACAGTTAGCGCCCTTTTGACAGGTCAAGACGAGGAAGAGTTTGTGCACCAGTTACCTGGGTGATGAAAGCTACCTCAAAGAGGATAATTTGGCGTCTACACCCTAGTTATACCTGGTGGACTAGCCTGCTGTACTATAAGATAAGGAACCTCTTCAATGTATGTAGTTAATTCTGTAGTTTGATTGGCTGCATATATATAAATATAAACCCCCCTTTATGTGTAGAGGATCGATTTGTGAGATTATGAGATTATTGCAGAAATACAGTCCACTTATCATTATACAAATTGCTATCGAAGTATATAAATTAACGTAAATATAAATTCTATATATATTCATATAAATTAAATAAATATAAATCTCACAGGTCGGTTCCCACATTATATGGACCTTCGGAACCGGAATATTCGGTCCTTTGAACCCACATTTGGTCATCTTAGTACCGGATGAACCAGTTATCCAGTGGATTCATTAAATATACTAGTGCAGTGTTATTTAAACAAAGCCAGTCAAGACGGCAGCGTAGCCTCGAGGGAGCTCAGGAGCCTCCCTCAGCCGAGTTCAGCTTCGTCAGCGGTTTCATGCACACCCACAGATATTTGGTGGCGTGTTATTTCGTGAAATGACAGCGCTAATATTGAAGCCAGCCAAAGTAGTGGCTGTGGTGTCGCGTGATTGTTCACGGATTTCGTGGTGTTACATTTCGCGAGAGATTATCTACGAATTTTGTGGACTTTATTTCGCGAGGTCACTAATAATATTTAATACTTCTAGATAGTATTAGAAGTTTCATAGAGGCAATTAAGAGGCTATTATCAATAATTGTGTATATTATTTCTCCAAAATAGAGAATTATTTAATATATATTGCACTAGTGATCACAGTATATTTACTAATTGCCAACCCACAACAGGGTAGGATATGACTAGTTGAACTATTATCGTTCATCCTAGTCCCATTATTACCATAGTCAGTTGTACTATATTGATTAACCTAGCACCATTAATGAATGGTCCAGACCCTATTTTGGGTGTAATTTTTATCAACTCGAGTTGAGGTGTATATATAATAATTACTTATGATCATTACACCTTTGAGTGATTAATTAGTGTCTATTCCATCCTAGGGTGATATTGAAGAGCTAACCTAAAGGTACTTCCAGTGACACTGGTTTATCACTCAAATCATTAGTGTGTATGATTGTATATATATAATGTGTATTAATTTTAAGTGCTAACCTCTAGTAGAGGTAGGATTATTGCCTAGTGAGTGCAGAATTTACCCTAGGCTACCATTAGAGCTTGTTCAGTATTATGAGCAGCCCAAGTACAAGCCCCACAAGGCTTCACCAACGAGCCAGTATGGATAATGCAGGGAGAATGAAAAGAACCCTTGCAGGTCTTAAAGGCCACTTAACAAGACAGATCAAGAAATGTGAAGATTTGTCACAACAATCAACAGTTGATTATGCTGACCTGGAAAGCTATTATCAAGCAGCTGCAGGTAAATTTGAGCAAATCAAATGCCAAATGGCTCTCCTTGTGGGGACAGACTACTACCATCAATTCATCGGTAGCCCTACTAAATATCAGGGTATAACCATGTTAAACTCTGCAGGAGGTAAATTACTCTCAGGCCCAGTATCAAGCCTGAGGAGACCTATGCCTGCAGATAAACAATACCAGTAGAAATCTAAATTTGTCAGCTGATTATATTTCTCCAGTAGCATTATACTAAGGAGATTACAGCTGACTATACCAACAGAGGTTGATGTTAGTATCATCATTTGAAGCTGAAGAAGAGTTCATGAGGCCTCAGTGGCAAATCAGTGAACAGTAGCCTAAAACAGCTACAAGTCACTGCGACCAATGTCACTGATCCCACTGCAGTCTCAGAACCATACTTTACTTTAATGATGAGCTATTCAATCTTCTGAATCAATTAACTAAATTAAACCCCAATAAATCTGATGACTGATTTGATACATTTATTATTTAATCAAGATGTATTCCATGGGCCTCAGTGTTTATATATCAGTGACCAGTTACCTGAAGAAACTTCAAGTTATATCTAATGTCACTGATCTCACTGCAGTCCCTGAATCATACTTGACTGTAGTACTTGATCACATTCAGTCTTCTGGGTTAAATAATAAGTAATTAGACTTGAATATTAGCCTTTCAAGAGTTAACAGGGAAATGAAATCGCATTAGACTTCTAACCCCTGCAACTCTAGTACGGGACATCCGTCCTGTACGAACAGACGCACAAATGTGTGATTACTAACTACTAACATCAAATTAATCTAATAAATCGAAGGAGGAGTATCGGTGTTCGTCTGTTCTAAACAGGACTTCGACCCGTGAGCAGCCCCCTGGGGAATTATGTCGGAAAATCCGACACCATTTAATATCATACAGATAATAGCTGTATTGTATAAACAAGTTACCCATAGAAAACGTAACTTGTAGTGGAATTACCGTCTAAGGAAAACGGGATATCATCACCACATACTATTATAATTCACCAGCTATTTTGCTGGGAATTGTTCTTAAATACATTAGTCTTTGGACTTTACCATCATAAAACATCTTATATAAATTAATTTAATTATCAGTAGTAAAGTAGAGTAAATGTGACCCTTCTATCACCTTTGGACATCTGGACAATGTAAGCCAGGCGTCAGGAGGAAGGGGGGAGCCATTGTTGTGTCACCTCCGAGACGTGTGGAGCAAATTTAGCTCCTATCATATCTGGACAATGTCGGCCAGTAACGTCAATAGTATGGAGTGTTAAACAGCCATTGTTTATATTGAGACCAGAGGCTCACACGGGAGCAAATTCGGCTCCTGTTAATTTTACTTGGACGTAGTGTTATGGAAACCAAAGGTACCATCTCCAACACGATGTCTACAATTCAAGTTAAGTGTTCTTTCCGAAACCCGTTTATCATTCATTTATGGCCATTAATGTCAGGATATAGGGTGATCCGGTTAGAGCACGTGGAAGCCTCAAACTAAAGGTAATTAAGCCAGGTCTTCAATGTTCCATGTACAGTTTTCTCTGATATAACTTGTCATATATAGGATTCTGGCTTCACAGTTAGCGCCCTTTTGACAGGTCAAGACGAGGAAGAGTTTGTGCACCAGTTACCTGGGTGATGAAAGCTACCTCAAAGAGGATAATTTGGCGTCTACACCCTAGTTATACCTGGTGGACTAGCCTGCTGTACTATAAGATAAGGAACCTCTTCAATGTATGTAGTTAATTCTGTAGTTTGATTGGCTGCATATATATAAATATAAACCCCCCTTTATGTGTAGAGGATCGATTTGTGAGATTATGAGATTATTGCAGAAATACAGTCCACTTATCATTATACAAATTGCTATCGAAGTATATAAATTAACGTAAATATAAATTCTATATATATTCATATAAATTAAATAAATATAAATCTCACAGGTCGGTTCCCACAATGACAGAATGATATTAGAAAAGACTGATCTCTTGCTAAATCTCTCCACTAAGTGGCATCAGTCGTCACTGGATGAGTCCAAGATCAGCTGAGTTGTTGCTCTAACAGGAGCCTTTGATCGGGTCTGGCACTCAGGATTAATAGTGAAGCTTCAAGCACTAGGTAACTCTGGTTCCATCTTAGAGTTAATAAAATACTACCATGAAGATCGTGAAAGCAGGATCGTGTATTCCTGCTGAATCTCTCAGGGTTGCAGGTAAGATATCTCTGACGAGGTCGTGCGATGCGTGGGAGGAGGAAAGGAAGGCTGGTAGAGCAATTTGGGAGGCTGTGCGGACACCAAGGCCGCCGAGTCTTACAGGAAGGGTTGCTTGCTCCCACTGACAGTCGTCCAATGGCAGGTTCAGGACTTTCACCAGCATGGACCTCAGAAGGGTGTCATACACATTTAACTTAGGGCTGCTGTAGGATGGAGAACATCTCAGAAAGTAGGTCAACTTAGGGAGAGACAGGCATCTTGTGAGGAGAAAGAGAGCATCATGGGCATCAATCTTGTCAATCCTGTCCAGCATTCTCTTTAGATTAGTGATTTTTGCAGCAAGGACCTCCTCGATTGCTCGTGGGCCAATGGGGGCACCCAGGAGAGTGCAGTCCGGTGGCTCGACAACGAGAATGTCTGGAAGAACATTTTGTATTTGCCCATTGATGTCTGGGTTCCGGGAGATTATTTCACATTTGGATGCATTGAGAATGAGGCCTAAGGCTGCTCCCTGCTGCTGGATTTTCCTTATATCCTCCAAAATGGTTTCCGGGGTTCCAGCGAGAGTGCCATCATCCAGGTACCAGATGTTTAGCTCGCTTTTCAGACTATCAGTGACCTCTTTGATAGCTAGGCAGAAAAGGAGGGGGGCTAAGGGGTCACCTTGTTGGACACCTTTACAGGAGTTTATTTCATGCTCCCCAAAAAGAAGCTTAGAGTCCCCACTGTAGCACGATCGGATGAATGGGTAAAGGGGACGGAAATGGTTGTGTACAGCCCTGAGGACAGCGTCTCGTCTGACTTGATTGAAGGCATTTTTGAAGTCAAGCTTTACTAGTGCCTTCTGGTCCGGGAGATCAACAATGTAAGCCCGCGCTGCATGTGCTGCAGCTTCACAACCTAGGGGAATCCCAAACCCGAGCTGATGAGGTTTCAGCAAGGTGGCTGCTTCCTGGCTGATAGATCTCACTGCAGCCTTAGCTAAGAGGCGCTTATATATATATATATATATATATATATATATATATATATATATATATATATATATATATATATATATATATATATATATATATATATATATATATATATATATATATATATATATATATATATATATATATATATATATATATATATATATATATATATATATATATATATATATATATATATATATATATATATATATATATATATTATTAAATATGACCGAAAAAGTAAGATTAATAATTCTAACACGAATTTTCTCAATCTTTCGTACATTTCTTTTCACTTGTTGGTAAATCAAAAATCAATTCTCCAAAATTCATTTTTATTTCTAGTCTGACGCGACACGAGTGCGTTTCGTAAAACTTATTACATTTTCAAAGACTTTAGGTTACAAATACACAACTGAATAGAACTTACGCATCTCCGATTTTGTTTATATCTACATTTGAGAGAGGTGGATGGGGTGAGGTGGCATTAATAGGGTATTAATTTCATCAACACAAGACAGAACAAGAGGTGGCATTAATAGGGTATTAATTTCATCAACACAAGACAGAACACGAAACAATGGGTATTGAATAGAAGTGATTGTAGAAAGCCTATTGGTCCATATTTCTTGATGCTTCTATATTGGAGCGGAGTCTTGAGGTGGGTAGAATATAGTTTTGCATTAATTGGCTGTTGATTGCTGGTGTTGACTTCTTGATGTGTAGTGCCTCACAAACGTCGAGCCGCCTGCTATCGCTGTATCTATCGATGATTTCTGTGTTGTTTACTAGGATTTCTCTGGCGATGGTTTGGTTGTGGGAAGAGATTATATGTTCCTTAATGGAGCCCTGTTGCTTATGCATCGTTAAACGCCTAGAAAGAGATGTTGTTGTCTTGCCTATATACTGGGTTTTTTGGAGCTTACAGTCCCCAAGAGGGCATTTGAAGGCATAGACGACGTTAGTCTCTTTTAAAGCGTTCTGTTTTGTGTCTGGAGAGTTTCTCATGAGTAGGCTGGCCGTTTTTCTGGTTTTATAGTAAATCGTCAGTTGTATCCTCTGATTTTTGTCTGTAGGGATAACGTTTCTATTAACAATATCTTTCAGGACCCTTTCCTCCGTTTTATGAGCTGTGGAAAAGAAGTTCCTGTAAAATAGTCTAATAGGGGGTATAGGTGTTGTGTTAGTTGTCTCTTCGGAGGTTGCATGGCGTTTCACTTTCCTTCTTATGATGTCTTCGACGAAACCATTGGAGAAGCCGTTGTTGACTAGGACCTGCCTTACCCTACAGAGTTCTTCGTCGACTTGCTTCCATTCTGAGCTGTGGCTGAGAGCACAGTCGACATATGCGTTAACAACACTCCTCTTGTACCTGTCTGGGCAGTCGCTGTTGGCATTTAGGCACATTCCTATGTTCGTTTCCTTAGTGTAGACTGCAGTGTGGAAACCTCCGCTCTTTTCCATGACTGTTACATCTAGAAAGGGCAGTTTCCCATCCTTTTCCATCTCGTAAGTGAAACGCAACACGGAACTCTGCTCAAATGCCTCCTTCAGCTCCTGTAGATGTCTGACATCAGGTACCTGTGTAAAAATGTCGTCAACATACGTGCAGTATATGGCCGGTTTCAAGTTCATGTCGACTAAGACTTTTTGCTCGATAGTACCCATGTAGAAGTTTGCAAACAGGACACCTAGGGGAGAACCCATGGCGACCCCATCTACTTGCTTATACATGTGCCCATCCGGGCTCAAGAAGGGTGCCTCTTTAGTACAAGCTTGGAGTAGTTTCCTCAGAATATTTTCTGGTATGTCAAGAGGAGTACAGGCTGGATCACGATACACTCTGTCGGCTATCATCCCGATTGTCTCGTCCACAGGTACGTTGGTAAACAGCGATTCTACGTCCAACGAGGCTCTTATCCCTGTGTACCGTGTGCCCCGCAGTAAGCCAACAAATTCCTTTGGAGACTTCAGGCTGAAGGCGCAAGGAACATAAGGAGCCAGCAGGCCGTTGAGTCGCTTCGCCAGTCTGTACGTGGGTGTGGGTATCTGGCTAATGATTGGCCGAAGTGGGTTTCCAGGCTTGTGTGTCTTGACATTTCCATACGCATATCCAGGTTTATATTCCCCAATGATCTTTGGCAGGTGGAGTCCGGATTTCTTGGTGTTCACAGTTTCGATCAGTTTGTTGACCTTTGCTTTTAATTCGGCTGTAGTGTCCTTCGTTACCCTTTGGAACTTAGTTTGGTCAGAGAGTATGATGTTCATTTTCGCCAGATATTCGTCTTTTTTAAGAATGACATATATTGGCGACTTGTCACCTCTCCTGACAACTATCTCCTTGTTCTCACGAAGGCTTTTAGCTGCCGCTTTGAGCTCGGGGGACAGTATGGTGCTTCTGTAATTGCCTCGATTCTTTCCTCCTTCTGCAATAAGTTCTGCTTGTAAGGTATCTTTGGTAGTGACCTTCTTTTGTGTCTCGAGGTCGAATATGTCGTCCAACAGAATTTCCAACTCTACTTTCCGGGCCATCTCACTCGGTCTGGACATAACATGACAGTTTATGCCCAGATTTAGGAGAGTGACTTGGTCCTCAGTGAGGTTAATTCCTGCAAGGTTCAGGAAGCCATCTCTTTGTCGTGGAATTGCCATAGGTCCTCCATATAATGTTGTTAGTTTCTTGATAATCCTTGTTTCAGTGCTGAGGTGATGTTGGTCTGTGAGGATGTCGAGGTGTTGTTCAATGCGGGTACGGATACTTTCGTCGATGTTGCTATTTCTCCACTCGTTTGTACATTTTTACACAGGTACCTGATGTCAGACATCTACAGGAGCTGAAGGAGGCATTTGAGCAGAGTTCCGTATTGCGTTTCACTTACGAGATGGAAAAGGATGGGAAGCTGCCCTTTCTAGATGTAACAGTCATGGAAAAGAGCGGAGGTTTCCACACTGCAGTCTACACTAAGGAAACGAACATAGGAATGTGCCTAAATGCCAACAGCGACTGCCCAGACAGGTACAAGAGGAGTGTTGTTAACGCTCAGCAACGCTCAGCAACGGGCCGTGACGAGGATTCGAACCTACGTCCGAGATCATGCCAGACGCTGCCTTAATAAGTAAGAAGTAAGGGCGAAGAGGTAGAACGGCCTATTGATATAGCTTGAGTTCAGGGGGAAATTGTGTAAAACCCTGGTTTGTGTCTCGGAGAGGCTGCAGGATACAAGTAAATTCAGTAGAACTTCTGGGTTCAATTCTTTTGACCGTGTCGTAGCTCAGTCGATTAAGGCAGCGTTTGGGATGCTCTCTGACGTAGGTTCGAATCCTCGTCACGGCCCTCGTGGATTTGTTTATACTTATTATATAATAATATTATACATTTATATTATATATACTTTAAATGACCCACCAAAATTCTAACCCATGACATCTAGGATAAACCCCAAACGTGCACAGTACCGTAAATGGTGCCGTGCTCACTGTACTGTGTAAGTTTGGGTTATCCTCGACGTCATTGGTTCGAATCATAGTCAGGTTATTTACAGTTCTTAGTGATTTATGGTTTGCACGTTCCTGCAGCCTTACTCACGAACATATATCATATAAAGGTTACAGCTTCTTTTATAAAGGTACGTACAATATTAACGGAATATTGCTATTTGAAAAGCCGGTGACTGTTACTTACGAGAGTCGACCAGAGCAGCAGGAGTGTTGAGTGTGTGATGTGCTAGTGAGCAGTGAAGCAGAGGTGTCCCTCCCAGGCATTATATCACCTCAGTCAGCTCAACGTTGCCGCCCACTCCCCGACGTCAGTGAACTCAACGTCAAGAGGGTAGCTGAGTGGCCAATGCTTGTCACTGCTGCGTTGCGATTGGTCGACGGCAGCACACGGTTTATTTATAGGTAATTAAAGCTTTATCGATGAATTATGTAACCGTTCATTTAATAACATATTCTGATAATAGAATTTTGTTGTTCGAGGGCCTGGAAAACTCCTCTTTTCAGTTAAGGCGACCATAAATTATTTTGATTTATCGAAGTATAAGGAATTAGTGAGTAAGACACAACGAATAAAGTTTTTACCCTCCCTAAACTCAGTACTTAATTTTACCCATGAACATCGATGGTGCACTCCTTATCCACCATGTCTTCGTGTTGAGAACAGCTTGAGCTACCTCATCCTTTTGTGTGTATTTATACCTCAATAAACTTAATTGAATTTGAATTGAAATTGAATTATGTGAGAACAAAAGACAACAGCTTAGCTTCAGAAGTTTATACTAAACCCACCAACATTGGAATGTGTATGGATGGTCACTCTGAATGTCCAAACAGATATAAGACAGGTGTAATAAACTCAATTATAAACAGAGCCCTTACTCATTGTTCTGACTGGCATAACATCCACATGGAACTGGAGAGAAGCCTTCAGGTCTTAATAAACAACGGGAACACGTATAGAGAAGACAACACCAATATCAGCAGATATTTAGACAAATGGTATAACAGAGAGCAACAACCGCAACAACAAACAATCCCTCCCATAAAACTATTACAAATTTACTATGAGGTCACAGTATAAAAGATAGATTAATAACAATTTAATTTCAAAAGCTAACAACTGGAGTGAAACTAACAGCCCCAGACCAAAAATTTGAATTTAATTTTCTACTACCAATTTCGTTACCTACTATTTTTTATGGTTTTAAATTAGCCTGCTGATTTAATAGAAAAAAAAACCCGCCCCAATTACCAATACAACCCTCTCCGACACAAGCAGAAGTGGTACACCAGTTTACATGCGCCATAGAAGGAAGTCACCATCAATCAACCTACGTTGGAATGGCCACCACACGTGTGTGAGATTTTTCTCTACGCCTACCTCCCTTAGGAGGTGGACTACAAGTTTAAAGTCTGCTCACGGCAGTTAAGCATGAGTCCAGTAGAAAAAAAGGAAAAGCGGGAGCAAACCGCCAGGCCTCCACCACCAAGGTGACAAACTGTCCACAATAGGCCGCTGGCTCCTCCTAGTTAAACAGGACGTTAAAACTAATAAAGGGTAACCGACGGGTTCTCACAATCAAATATTTATATTTGATGTGGCGCTATGAATTGGAATTCGAATTCCCAAGAACAGCCGCCTTATCAAGATCACATCAACATTTAATAATATGCAGAAATATGGTGGAATAATATGGTTGAAGGGTTGACATCAAAGACTGTTTTCTATAACATAACAATTTATTAATAACAAGAGACTAACTACTACATTACCGAGTTCACATTACGTTAATGTCAATCCAGTGGCACGATAACAAACAGCTACATAGCAACCCTTGCTGTGAGGCTGCATACTGAACTAACCTGAACACAGGTGTGCCCACTGATGACGCAATATTGCAAAACAAAGAAAAATATCACAGACTAAGTTACACCACAGCGAATGGTTACGTTATTGTACATCAAGTGGCAGTTGCAACACAGCTATTCAACAGCCCTTCGAGAAGTGACAGCAGGCTCCATCTTGCTGCCACTTCTGGCTGACAACATGAACTAACTGAACAAATGAAGGATCCACTGAAACAAAGACACAAGCAGGCAATCAAAAGTGTCACGGTTTCCCTGACAGCTACTATAATCACAAACTTAGGGGTCCTCTCGCCCCCCAGGAGAGACCCACGTAACTAGGCGGGAGTCCAACAGTGACTCCCCCCTATCACAACCCCGTGTGAACACTCTTTGCAACTCCCAATAAGAAGTTGCCCTGTTGTAACCCGATACACAGACAGGCAAGGCGGGAATTCTGGGACACAGCTCCACAGATCCCTAGATGACTCTACTCTCGTCACCAGACGACAACCAAAAGAAATTGCCTGAAGTGATTAATTACGTTAATTGACTGATCGCAGCAGTCAGCAACAAAGTACCACGGTAATCACAAACAATTGTCTCCCACTAGACAACAACATGATGATACTCTACGTTAATCTTTAACACTTGTCTCTCTCTTGTTAACAATAACTCAACATATATTACAACACACTTGACTCCTTGCAAGTATTCAGTGAGTAATTCTCAATTAAGGTCAAACGGACCACTAATTACATCCCCATTGAGTTTCGTTAACTAAGCCTACCCTAACTTGGTAGCTTCTCCACAGTCTGTGTCAAAAAATTACTAGTGAGTGTTAATTACCCTAATTAAGGCACTAGTTACTGAGCCATTAATTAACTGTCACCAGGACCGATAATTAATCATCCAGAAATACGTCTCACTCCGCACTGCCTAAGCAGGTCTCATCAAACACTGTGAATTCACGGGAAAGAAGTTAATTACCCTAATTAACAAGATGTGCCAATAATCCACTGTCCTCAGACAGGATATGATTAATACAACGATTTATGCTAGCTCCATGACCTCGCTTTACCGAGTCACCGGAGCTCTCCAATGTTAATTACTCCACTAATTAACATGAGCCACTAATTGCTATACCCCTGAAAGGTAATTAGTCTCGAGCATATTACGTTAACACAAGTACTGACAGACTCTGACAGATCCTCTCCCACTACGTGAATTCATGATGAGAAGGCTAATTACATAATTAGCTAGAGTGGTCAATTAATTGTCACATGGACAATTAATTGCTCCCGAGACGTATCTCATTCTCGCTCAACACTGTTCTCTCCTAACAGCCCGCACTCACTCCACAATACTAAGTGTGCACCCCTTACCCAGTTAATTACCCCTTAATTAACTCACTGAATCCTTAAGTCCTCAACATAACTTAAAGAAACAAAGTAACCCCAGCGTTACATAGGTCACACTACAATGGCATGCAACATCATAACAGCACTGCCCACATATGGTTGCGGCTACTGCAACTCGCTAATTACTGTTCCCACACAATAAAAACACACGGTTGTGCAACACACCAAAGTATACTAATATTGCTGCCCCCCCTCTTTTACTTGCACCCGATTGCAAAGGAATACTGTGAACACACACATACCTCAGCCAGGCAATTAACCCATCAATTGCCTGCTCTCATTAAGTACTGAAAATTCCCCTGAATAATCCTAGAGGTCCCTTAAACCCTCAACACAGTTCCTGGGGCAATAATATCGTATAAACTGATAACAACACTGCACAAACCTGCAACATAATGATGCCGTCAGCATACCCCACATGCTAATGACATCAATCAGTCAGCAATCACACCTACTGACTTACCACACAACACAGTACATAAACATGCAAATGAACACATAGGAATGGCATTCACATAATCAATGAAAATTAAATCACCAAGTAATGTGCCAATGTCTTTATCTACCCTATCAATTCCCTTGAGAATCTTGAATGTGGTGATCATGTTCCCCCTAACTCTTCTGTCTTCCAGCGAAGTGAGGTTTAATTTCCATAGTCTCTCATAGCTCATACCTCTCAGCTCGGGTACTAGTCTGGTGGCAAACCTTTGAACCTTTTCCAGTTTAGTCTTATCCTTAAATAGATATGGACTCCATGCTGGGGCTGCATACTCCAGGATTGGCCTGATATGTGGTATACAAAGTTCTGAATGATTCCTTACACACGTTTCTGAATGCCGCTCTTATATTGGCTAACCTGGCATATGAAGCTGATGTTATCCTCTTGATATGGGCTGCAGGGGACAGGTCTGGCATGATATCAACCCCCAAGTCATTTTCTCTCACTGACTCTTGAAGAATATCATCTACCAGATGATACCTTGTATCTGGCCTCCTGCTCCCAACACCTATCTTCATTACATTACATTTGCTTGGGTTAAACTCTAACAACCATTTTTTCGATCATTCCTTCAGCTTGTCTAGGTCTTCTTGAAGCCTCAAGCAGTCCTCCTCTGTCTTAATCCGTCTCATAATTTTGGCATCGTCCACAAACATTGAGAGAAATGAATCTATACCCTCCAGGAGATCATTTACATATATCAGAAACAAGATAGGACCAAGTACAAAGCCCTGTGGGACTCCACTGGTGACTTCATGCCAATCTGAGGTCTCATCCCTCACTGTAACTCTCTGCTTCCTATTGCTTAGGTACTCCCTTATCCAAAGGAGCACCTTACCAGCTACACCTTCCTGTCTCTCCAGCTTATGTCCCAGCCTCTTATGTGGCACTGTGTCAAAGGCTTTCTGACAATCCAAGAAAATGCAGTCCCCCCAGCCTTCTCTTTCTTGCTTAATCTTTGTGACCTGGTCGTAGAATTCTATTAAGCCTGTTGGGCAAGATTTACTCTCCCTGAACCCATGTTGGCGATTTGTCACGAAGTCCCTTCTCTCCAGATATGTTACAAGATTTTTTCTCACAATCTCCTCCATCACCTTGCATGGTATACTAGTCAAAGACACTGGCCTGTAGTTCAGTGTCTCTTGTTTGTCGCCCTTTTTATATACTGGGACCACATTTGCCGTCTTCCATATTTCTGGTAGGTCTCCTGTCTCCAGTGACCTACTATTCACTATGGAGAGTGGCAAGCAAAGTGTATCTGCACACTCTTTCAGTGCCCATGGCGAGATCCTGTCTGGAGCAACAGCCTTTCTAACTTTGAAGATCAAGCAGTTATGTAGTCACTGAAACCTTCACAGCCCTGAATACCCATCTCCTCAAAATCCAGCCTTTTCTTACCAGCAGAGCTTCACCACCACCACCTCTTCCTTCTCTCTCTTTTCTCATAACATAATAGTCCTGTGG